TCATCCTACCCAACTACCATCAGGCATAGAGGCATCAGTTTGATAGTAAAACGTAGGGTCCCATAAATCCTAAGGATGACCCAGCCTAAAGAGTGCAGTTATGAGACCATGAAGAAATGCTAACAGCTTCACAGAACCTTTAGACAATAGTCTAATAGCTTTGGGCACATAAGTATCATTATTTGCAGTGTGAAACTCACTGAGGTTTTCACTTGGAAATGATATGCATGTCTGTGCATGCACAAGTGTCAGACAGGCCGTGTGCCAGTTAAAAATATTCCCCAATATTATTATTTTTCCCTTTTAAACAGGGATGAGCCTGAAGTGAAACCAGAGACCTGAATAACAATAAGCCTTGAGAAAGTTAAAATCCAGATTTGCGGCCAAAATTCTCTGCACAGGGCCATCTCTATTGTTTATATTTAAATATTGCCACATGATGTTCTCTGCACATTAAAGTTCAAGAGAAAAACATTACTCCAGAATGAAACTTGGACTTCAAACTGAATTTGAGCACCTGGGGCAAAGACTCTTTTCTTATTCTATTTCCTGAGCATACAGCTGAGTCTGACTTTCTGGCTTCTGCAGTCAGTGCTCAGTTAAAAACAGATGCAGTGTTTCAGCAAGAAGGTTAACTCGCAACAAGAGTTTCCGTTGCTATCTTTCTCCAGAAGAGGAGAAAATTAAAATATCCCTCAGGAGGGAGCATAACTTTACTGTGAATTTAATAAAGCTCATTTTTGAAAGCTCTACAGCATTGCACAAAAACTTACCAATAAGAAACAAATCAGGGTACATTCAGAAAAAGAATTAGCCCTAGTCTGCCCTAGGGGGTTATTTCAAAATAACTCCCCTTTTTTCAAAGTAATAAGCGGAGTGTCCACACTTCCAAGCCCGTTATTTGGAAATAAGGGGCTGGTTATTTTGAAATAACTCCTGCTTTCCACGAAGAATAATGTTTATTTCAAAATAGTTATTTTGAAATAGCAGTAGCGTAGACACTGCACTACTGCTATTTCGAAATGACTCTCCAGAGTCATTCAAAGTAATTACTCCCCAGTGCTTCCTGGGGCTCTGAGTTGAGGTAGCGGGTCCACATTAAGGGAGCCTGCCTTGGACTAATTTTTAGGCTTCCCTGTAGTGTGGCTATGCTATTTCAAAATTATTATTTCAGGAGTTATTATTTCGAAATAAGTTATTTCAAAATAATTTTCTAGTGTAAGCATGCCCTTAGAAAAAAACTGGGTAAACCAATCTTATGCCAATGGACCTACGTTGAGGATGAATTTGGCTTACTATGTTTTTAGGTGTTGATCAGAATTGTGGCTGTGGTGAGAAAGCACGACACTCCAGTGGAGCAAAAGCCTAAAACTACATGCTAAATGCTGGAAGTGAACATATTTCCATAGCCCCTCTGGGAAAGGTTTGTTTGGGGGTCCAGCTCTACACCCATGGAAGGGGCAGGGCTTTGAGAGGAAAGAGCAGGGGTAGGTGAAGCACCCTGTGCTGCCTGGACTTCAGTGATAGGCCCCACCTCCAGCTCCCAGAGCTGCATGGAGTGTGTGGGATGGCACTCCAATGGTAATTTTAAGAGCCGGGGCCATGGGCCCCTTTGAATTGCCAGGCCCCAAGGCAACTACAACATTTGCCCTCCACCCTTGGTGGGCCTGCACATGCTAAGGACAATCAAAAATTGAACAGAGGTTCTGAGTAAGCTTATAAACGATAGAGAAAACAAGTAACACAGGGTAAAATAGCTATGCGGTGTGCGGATTCCTTGTCATCTTAAAACAGTACTTGAAACAAAACCTGAGATCTATTGAAGGCTGTTAAGGAGAGATATCCAAGGGCACATGGGGGGATTAACTTTGACCAAATTCCATTGACTTTCAATGGTGATTAGATACCTAATTTGTACCTTTGAGAATCTCAAGCAAAAGAGTCAATTAAGGGAAAAATGAAACCGCAACAAAATGGAACAAGAGATGCTGACACCCAGACTAAGGGGCTATCCTAACAGTGCAACTGGGAAAGAATCAGGGCATGCACCAAAAGAGCATTTGTGTTACATGTGAAGTAGATACTGGAGCTTTTTTTTGTAGATGAAATTGACAAGTTTTGACTAATGAACCGTAAGTACAGATTGCCCAATATGTAGCCGATCTGATATACCTGCTTCTCCCTGTGTGTTCTGGAACACTGTGTTCTTCCCTCAGATCATTCTTTTGGCAAATCAGCACTTGAACTAACAGCTGAGCACAAATTCCTTAGGGAACAACCCTGTGCCTCTTCCTTCCAATAGGGATTTTACCACTGAATCCAGCTGAGAGCAGGGACAGGCTATTAATGAACAGACTTCTTTTCTACCAGAATTTTTCAAAGTTTTCATCTCTTCCATATATTCGTGCCACTGGGATGGGATGAAGATACTCTCTAAAGGATGTTTGTAGTCATCCTCCACCCCTGCCAGTGAGCCATCAAAATAGGACATAGAAACACTAATAGGACATTGGCTTCACCCGTTATTCCTCTCCTTCCCACTTCTTTTCTTCCTGTTTGGCCCCGCTTTGCTTACAAACTTTTCAATCGTGGTGAATGTGATGGGGGCAGCACCCAGTTTCATCAGCTGAAGATGATGGTGGAAGCAGCAGGAGGAGTTTAAAGTTCCTCCCTATGCCAGTTAATGCCAGAGCGGATGTGGCCTGTGCATAGTTATGTCTCTAGACACACACAAGAGGCATGGCAAACTTGAGCACTTCCCTTTCCAGCGGACAAGCCCTTCCTTCTTCCCTCTTTCTCCCCAGTCTCTCTGTGGTATCCTGGAAAAACTCCGCCGCATGGGCTATAAAATGAGTTGGGATTGATTCTTTTAGGCTATGTCTAGACTATGGAGTTTTTCCGGGAAAACTCCACCGGATCCAGGAATGCGTCTGCTCGTCCGATATTTTTTGCAGAAAAGCATGCATGCTCTTTCAGAAGCCCTGTTTTCCTCATTTTATGAGGCATAAGGGCTCTTCCAAAATAGGAGGTTTTTCTGAAATTTGGCCCTGTGTAGATGGGCCAAATTTTGGAAAAGCCTCTTCCGAAAAAACAATCGGAAAAAGGTATGCAAATTGCGGTCACACTGGTTTTTCAAAAAGTTCCCATTTTCTTACGATGTGTATATTCATTATTTAGCCAATGCCTGCTACTCTTTGCAGCATGCACTGAAGTTAGGCACTTTAGCAAAGTGACTAATAAATATCTTTAAAAGTGACTGCCCCTCCTTAATGCCCAATCCATGCTCCCTTCTGTGCACTGCAACCTAGGCCTTCACCTTCAGTAAGATTTTAGGCTCATCTTACTCAAGAAATGAAGAAACAAATTGTCCTGAAATTTGCATTCTTGCTGAGCAGCTTTTTTGGCTCCCATTCACGAAAGCATAATGGTGTGGGTGATTATTATGTTTCTTTCACGTTTGTGAATTACCTTGATCCCAAGTGCTTGATCCATTCATGCTTAAGTGAGTTCCATTGGTGAAAGTCAATAATGGTTGTGAGCTATGTGAATATCTCTGGTTTGGCCATTTACTGGAACTCTGATCTGACATTACTGAATGTTTCTATTCCAGATATTAGTGGACTATTAATTCTTGTAAAGAACTCACAGTACTGAATAGGAAATTAGTTATTTACAGCTGTAGAAGGGTCAGTCATTTCTATAACTCAGTTACCATATACATATATAAAATCCACCAAATATAACAGCCAAATAAAATGAACTAGAGAGCAAATACCCGATCAAAACTGTTTTGCAAGTATTTAAAGAATTGTGTTATGTCAGCACAGTATGCAACAGAAATAACATGATGTGACATACCTCCACCAATGTAATATGAGATGACACTACCAAGTACAAAGCAAAGCAAGCAAACAAACAAAAAACCCTTTATTTTTAGCTCAGATGCTTATTATCCCGTGTCTGATCAGTATGTTTTGTAATGGATTTAAGTGGAGTGAATATAGTTACAATTTAGCCAATGTAGGTTTAATGGCTATCTGAATTAGTCTAATCCTCTAGCCAACTAGTAAAACTTTAGACTTTTAATATCTCTGTTTTAAAAATATTCAGAGGTATGCTATAGAAATGTCATAGAATGCTAGGCATACCCTCCAAAGCAGCAGCATTTTGTAGCATTACTGTACAATTCTGCAATTTTGTAGTCTATATTGTAGCACATTATATTCAGTAGTCTATTGACATATGGGCAGTGAGGTCATGAACAGCAAGGAATAAAGTTCAAAAGTATGGGCTGATCCAGAAGATCCTTACTCTAGTGAGTAGTCAGTAGTAAGTAGAGCTACTCAGTTGACTGATGCTTACTCATACAAATAAAGGTTTGCAAGATTGAGCCCTATGTCTCATTAGAGTCACAACATCCTGATACTTGCAGCTGTTCTCTCATCATTAAAAATGCTGATGATTGTGCAAGAAAAGAGAACCACTGGAAGACACAGACATTTGTGTAATGAGCTGAGTTTTCAGCAAGCATGGCTTTCCATTGGGAAATCAGACTGTGATTAGACACCAAGAAACTTAACAGCCTGGTAAAATTCTGACTGGATTTTTTGCTTGCCCCGATCCCAGTGACCCACACAATTAAACCTAGTTTAACAAAGCATTAAAAAAAGGAAGAGGCAGCAGGGGAGGAGGATTATGGGGTGTGTGTTCTGAGGAAGGGGGAAAGAAGTAAAGTCTAGGATTTCTGTGCAATGTCCAGTAGGCTCTGGCATGAAGTGCTAACTCAGCCCTCAGTTCATATCAGCATTACATCCAGTAGATTTTGGCATGTAGCGCTTGCTCAGCCCTCGGCTCATATCAGCATAAACACTTCATCACAGCTGACACGCTGATATGCTAAATGAGTAAGTGCCGGGCACAAAGAGGTCACTGAGAAGTTAACTAAAGGGATTATAAGGGACAGTCAACACACTTCAAAAAGAAAAACTCTGATAGGTGCAGAAAACATGGTAAATGAGCCCTAAGAATTCAAACCCTCCGTCGCGCACTCCATTACAGGCCTGACAGCTGAGTTCTAAACAGTTAAATATGAAACTGTCAACAAGGGCCTGTCTTAATAACCAAACTTGAGGCCTTTTATCCTGGAAGATTTATGAAGTAATTTTAAAGAGGCCCAAGCAAACATCTGTCAATAAATTGAATGCCGGCTACAGGATTTACAAGCAAGACAAGAATTTCTCATTAAGTGCACATTAGCACTGTGGGGATCATAAATAGTAAGAGGGCAGGAAGCTGAGCCTCTCAAGCTGTCATTAAAACACTATCTAAGAACTAATGAGGAAGTGATGGAAGGATACTAATGATCCCTCTGGCTCCTTTCGTTCGGCAGTGAAAGAGGAGCATGCAATACAGGGTTTCAGTCTGCCACAATTGGAGACCTACACTACAGCAGTGAGGTTTCCAGAGAGCATGGCGGCAGTACATGTTCCATCTCTGTAAGGCCACAGGCTGAGCCTCAACATCCTATGGTGAATCAGAAAATAGATGTGAAGGAGCTCTTTCCTCGGAATTACTTGAGATGGATGGTAACCATTAATGATGTGCAAAGCCAGTGGAATTCATAGGTTTGTGAACCTCTCACCTTTGGGAATGCAAAGGTTTGTAAACTACTTTGAGTTATGAAAGGTTTGCAGAGCAAGTTGTGTGTAGCTCCATCTGTGGCATTTTACACACAGTACTTAATAGGCTCATTTTCATATTTAAAGATAATTTGCATATGATTATGATCAGTGGTTTAAAAACCATTGCATGACAAAAGACTAGATTTTCCCTTTATAGGCACCTGTGAGGAGTGGGGACTGATTTGGGTGAACCAGGACCTTATACCTTGTACCACACAGCTGAGAGGAGAGTGCCAGAAAGTGACAATCTGGGGAATCTGTGTGTTTTCTGGATTGGAGGAATCTGGAGGGGAAGGATTCTAAAGGTCTGCATTTACCCCAAGTCCCCTCTGTTAGCCCATCACATTCTGTCCCCCATTAGCACCTGCTTCCCACAACAACTCCTCCATTTGTTTCCACTCCTTTAACCCCTCCCCTCCCAGTTATGTCTGCCTGCCTCTCTCCACAACAGTGTGCCTCATAGGCTGTGCACTTGCACTGACACTCAGGAGAGATTCAAATGCCACCCAACTGATTAGCAGAGCACCCACAGCTAGGTTTTGTGTTTCTACTGATGGTGCACATTCACATAAGTACATAAAAAAACCAATTCCGCTCATGGATGCAAAAGAGTAGAGGGAACATTTCCCATGAACCTTACCCCTCGACAGTATCCCTATTTCTCTTCCTGTAGTTCTTGTTCTCTCCCCCTACCCGCCAATACCTCTTAGTTCCTCCCATAGCTCCTGAGCTTCTCTTAGCTCCTCTGCTGTGGTACTGACATAGCCACTAAAGCCACCAGTTGCCTCCTCTCTTCTGGGTTCTGCACAGAGGGAAGCCAGGCGGGGTGAAAAGCCACCAAAGGGGGAGGCCAAGAAGCCATAGTAGCAGCCACTCTGGACAACCAGGACAAAATGCAGCCCAAATCTTGATACATGCTGGGAGCCCAGCTTCATGCATGACATTCTGTTCGTGCAGTGGCAATGCAGGAGGGCCATGTGTGAGTGTCACACAAAGGGCAGAAGATGTGGCAAGCTGGGTGTATTAATTAAACTGTTGTTACATAGTATTTACACTATTGTTATATTTCTTAATGATGTACTTTCCACAAAATCCTACATATATTAACTGCTATAGTTGCATTGCATTTCCTGACCAAAGTCTTCCGCAGCACAGTTTCATGCCCACCTGACTTGTATGAATACAAACCCTAATGCAGCTGGCAAAGTTGGGAATTGTCCAAGCAGAGCCTGGATTACATGTGTATACTGAAGCCTATATGAGTGCAAAAGTACATTTCTGAAAAATCTGGTCCATAGAGAACAAACAAACAAATAAACAAAACCTCTCTACACATGTACAGGAAATTTTCGTGCTGTAGATACATTAGGGTATGTCTACACTAGCTCGTTAGTTCGAGCTAGGTAGGCAAATGAGGGCAACCGGGGTTGCAAATGAAGCCCAGGATTGAAATATCCCGGGCTTCATTTGCATGTTCCCGGGCGCCGCCATTTTTAAATCCCCCTTAGTCCGAACTCCGTGCCCGCGGCTACACGCGGCACGGAGTAGGTAGTTCGAATTAGGATCTCTAATTCGAACTACCGGTACACCTCGTTCCACAGGCATGGAGTTCAGACTAAGGGGGATTTTAAAATGGCGGCGCCCGAGAACATGCAAATGAAGCCTGGGATATTTAAATCCCGGGTTTCATTTGCAACCCCGGTTGCCCTCATTTGCCTACCTAGCTCGAACTAACGAGCTAGTGTAGACATACCCTAATGTATCTACGGAGCAGTGATAAGATGGCTGCAAAGCTGCCAAGAATCCCACTCACCTATTCCAGCAATCGTCTAAGCAAGAGAAGAGCTCTCGATAGAATCTGTGTCTGCCTCTCAGGGCAGGGGGATGTCAGATGTGCTCTCAGATGGGCTGAAGACTAGAGGACACACAGCAAGGATGTTTTTGTGCCCTGGAAATTCTGCCATGCTACAGTGACCCCTGTGAGTAAGGGCTAAGTAAGCTCATGTCTACAACACTGCAGAAAGTCAACCAAAGGTATGCAACTCCAGCTATGAGAATCATGTACCTGAAGTTAATGTACATTAGGTCAAGTGACCATAGAGTCTATAGGAAAAACTCTCCCGTTCACCTTCCTTACTCTTCTCATCAGGATAGAGTGCTCTGCAGTTGGTCTGGTGGTTCTTCAGTAGACCCACTAAATCAACTGCCGATGGATCGATCCCAGCATGTTGACCTCTGATGTAGTGTTTATGTAGCCTAAGAACAAGGCTTTATGCTACTTTATTGTGTCCTGGAGTTGAAATCACATCTCGGCAGCCCTTTGGTGCTCTGGATCCTGCATGCAGACTTGAATCTGGCCAATCAAGTGTTTCTTTCTCTGACAATACTGTTACTTGGAGGATAAAAGCATTATAAACCTATTTATGCTAATAATAGTTATTTCTCTATAGCCTGAGTTCATTGGCAGTTAAACTATAAAAGTTACATTTTTTTCTCTAGTAGATGTGGTTTTACACTCTACAGGTACCATGACTAAATGTGCTTTTTTTAGATTTCTATTTATAAGATCATTCAAATTATTATAATTAAAATGCTAATAGTATGCTTATTAAAATTAACAATGTATTATTACACTGGTTATCTACCAGTCATTACCCAGTTTAAAAAATGGTCACCATAAAGGAGTATTGTAGCTAAAGTATTAAATATACAGTCTCTCAAATGAGGTTATCTAGAATTTTTAGTTCTCATTAATGTGTATATAAATATTATACTAATATATAAATCTCCAAATAAACCATTAATAAAAAATAGCCTGAACTTGTCCACATCGGCTACTACAGACAATATATGTTTCAGCACTTTCATCATTAATATATACATGTTGGTCCTTATTGTTGTTCTTTATTTTACACAATGAAAATCAAGAATAACTTCAAAGAAGTCAATAAAATTATACCCATGTAAAACCAATGAGAGTTCAGAACTGAGCCAAATGAACTAAACAAATGAAGAACATGTATCATACACCAGAACCAAGTCAACTCCAGTGACATTGTTTCCCCGCCCCCCTGCATATTGTAACTTCATTGCAATGATAGTGGGCCATATTCTGTCACTCTTGTTCACAATGAGTAGTAGTTAACATCACAAACAGTTCAAATGAGGCCACTGGGACTATCTATGGAGCAAATACTATTCATTATAACTAAAAGTAAAAAAGCATTGTTCTGTGTAATTAATACCTATGATGCTCCAGTACCCCAGGATATGACTATACTAGCCCCCTAGATCAATCTAGGGAGGCTAATGAGGGCAACCAAAATTGCAAATCAAGCCCGGGATTTAAATATCCTGTGCTTGATTTGCATGTTCCCGGCCAGTCACCATTTTAGAAATTGACTAGCCGGAAGTAACTGCCTGCGTCTACATGTGGCAGTGAAACGGAATTCCGATTTAAAGCCCTAACTTGAATTAGCTAGTATCCCTCCTGCAATGAGGTTTACCAGCTAATTTGATTTAGGGGCTTTAAATCAGAATCCCGTTTTACTGCCGCGTGTAGACGCGGGCAGTTACTTCGGGCTAGTCAATTTCTAAAAATGGTGACCGGCCCGAAACATGCAAATCAAGTGCGGGATATTTAAATCCTGGGCTTGATTTGCAATTTTGGTCACCCTCATTAGCCTCCCTAGATCGATCTAGGGGGCTAGTGTAGATGTACCCAAAGTGTATAACTCCAGTCTATTTTATATGTGTTCACTTGTCTATTTTATATGTGTTCACTTTTTTTGATTGTATCCCTTTGGTGTATATGGTCATGCCAATTTTCTTCCACAATTTGACCTGAGGAAGTGAGTCTGGCCCACGAAAGCTCATCACCTAATAAACCATCTTGTTAGTTTTTAAAGTGCTGCATAGTCCTGTCTTTTGTTATAACTCCAGTGTAATTGAATTCATACTTAACAGATTTACAAACACAGAAACCCTAAAATGCAAGCCTAAATTTCAAACTCACATTGTTTGATTAGGTTCAAGATTTGACAAAACTGGTTTGCTTAGTCATAGCAATTATATTGTCTACTTCTCCGGGGCAGGAAAGATAGGGAGTCAAATACTGCTAGGAAACACCCATTCCCTCATCAAACTGTCCACCTGTGACCTCCCCAATTGTTGAATTTATGTTATCTTCTGAAAACAATCATTTTGCTGAATACTGTGAGTATAAGACCAACGTGCACTTTAATTGCTGCCAAGGTGACTGGCAAGAACTTTTGTTTTTCCAATTTGTGAAAACTTTGCACCCTCATCATTGAAAGTTATGTTATATTGAGCAAGAAATTCCATCTATAAATATTTGTGCATGCTACAATAGATTGAATCACGTGTAGGTGGTTTTATGGCACACAGATATTCAGATTTTCCACTGAGATAAGTGGAGTTACTCCCTATTCATATTGGTGTGACTTTATGAGAGCAGAATCAAGTTTTCATTTCTATGATGGATCTTTTTCTTTTGTTTTTGTAGAGTAGGGTCCTGATGCAAAGAACTCTCCCAATGCAATGACAGATTTGCTTGTAAAAACATAAAAAAACCAAATGAAGAAGTGGGTTGTGCCCACAAAAGCACAATACCATTGACATGTTTTGTTAGTCTTTAAGATGTGGAAGATTATTCGTTGTTTTTTAAGATTTTCCAGTTACAGATTAACTCTGCTACCCCTCTAAAGATTTGCTTGTGTCAGTGCTGCAAGATCAGAATTCACTATAAGAGACCCATTTAGAAGTACTGGATTTAAGGATTGCAGGATGAGCCATGCAGAGTTTTGCTGTTCTATATTTGCACTCAGTAGCCTTGATGGTAAGTGCCAGATGCAACAAAAGAAGCTAAGCAAATATAGCAAAAAGCAATATAGGAAGAGTGTCTTTTGTGATCCACTCCAGTAAGGACCACTCTGGTTAAGACTTCTTTTGTGCCA